CTGCTGCTGTTAGTCCAGGCACCCCAACTGGAGAACCACTGTTCTAAGCTCCCCGGGGTGCACAGGATTCAGACTGGCCAGGATCCAGGATAAGGTAGCCCATGAACTGAGACCTTCCAAATATGCAGATTATGCAAGCAATAATAGCAGCCATTTAGTCCATTACTAAAGGCTTCAATTACTTCAAAACATTCATGGAAGATGTGTATTATTCACATCTCCCTATTCACTAATCATGGCATAGCCATTCTCATTTTTTAAAATGTCAAATCATGAGTAGTTTTAAAGAAATGTAGCAAAAACACTTGTTTATAAATGTAGCATAATTGACCTTTGATTTTTCACCTCTGAGTGATGAAGAATTCAAAAAGTGTCCTTCAACAGTGTATTAGTCTGTTCTCATGTAATAAAGACATACCTGAGACTGGGTAATTTATAAAGGAAAGAGGTTTAATTGACTCACAGTTCTGCATGGCTGGGGAGGCCTCAGGAAACTTACAATCATGGCAGAAGGGGAAACAAACATGTCCTTCTTCACATGGAAGCAGCAAGGAGAAGAATGAGCAAAGTAGGGGTCGGGGGGAAGCCCCTTATAAAACCATCAGATCTTGTGATCTCATTATCAGGAGAACAGCATGGAGGTAACTGCCCCCATGTTTCAATTGCCTCCCTCCAGGTCCCTCCCATGACACGTGAGGATTATGGAAACTACAATTCAAGATGAGATTTGGGCAGGGACACAGCCAGACCATATCAAACAGCCGATCAATGAAATGAAAAGGAATTTCATTCTTTATCTGAGTCTATCAAAGGATGTCATTGAGGATGCATTTCATGGCTCACCCCATGTCACTTCCAGTGAACAGTTTACCATCCTCAATTTTCTTACACATACTCAGGGACATTCCCCCTTCAAACTCTTCCCAAAAGGTCTCTCTTCAACCCTGGCAGAAACAAGGAAAGAGAACATTTTCTATTTCTATTTTAAAAAGTCATTGGGATTTTGTTGGGGATAGCATTGAATCTACAGATCTGCTTTGGGTAGTAGAGATATTTTAACAATATTAAGTCTTCAAATCCATGACATGGATTTCTTTCCATTTAGTTGTGTCTTCTTTAATTGCTTTCATCAATGTTTTGTACTTTTCACTGTACCAATGTGCCTTTATAGCTACATTTGTTTCTAAGTATTTTATTCTTTTTTAATACAGTACGTCTCTCCATTTATTTAGACCTTCTTTGATTTCTTTCATTGGCATATTGCATTTTTTAGTATATGTATATCATTTAGTCCTGTATATGCTTTATCAGATTTACAGCTATACTATTGTAAATAGTATTGCATTTTTTAATCTTTGTGTCAATGTTTTTATTGGTAGTTTGTAGAAAAAATTGTTTTTGCATGTTTATCTTTTTGATGCTGTTGTAAATAAGGTCACTTTCTTAAATTCTCTTGCCAATAGTTTATTTTTAGTGTATACAAATGCAACTGATTTTTTTTGAGAGAGAGGGTCTCACTTTGTCACCCAGGCTAGAGTGCAGTAGCCCAATCATGGCTTACTGTAGCCTCGACCTCCTGGGATCAAGCAATCCTCCCACCTCAGCTTCCTGAGTAGCTGAGACTACAGGTGTGTGCCACCATCCCTGACTAATTTTTTTATTTTTTTATTTTTGTACCGATAGGGTCTCACCATGTTTCTCAGACTGGTCTCAAACTCCTGAACTCGAGCTATACACCTAACTCAGCCTCCCAAAATGTTGGGATTACAGGTGTGAGCCACCATGCCTGGTGCAACTGATTATTAAATGCTGATTTTCTATCCTGTGACTTTATTAAATTCGTTTATTAGTTCTAACACTTTTTAATGGAGTCTTTAGATTATGCTATCTGCAAATAGAGATAATTTTACTTTTTTTCTGATCTGAATGTCTTTTTAAATGTCTCCTTTTTCCCCTAATTGCTCTGGCTTCAACTACCATCTTTAATAGAAGTTGCTAGAGTGGACATCCTTGTCTTGTTCCTGATCCTAAAGGAAACACTTTCAGTTTTTCACCACTAAGTATGATATTAGCTGTGGGCTTTTCATGTATAACCTTTACTGTTTTGAGGTAAGTTTCTTCTACACTTAATTTGTTGAAAGTTTTTTATCATAAAAGGGTGTTGAATCCTGTCAAATGCTTTTGCTGTATCTACTAAGATGATTATATGCTTATTAACCTTCATTCTCTTAATATGGGATATTATATTCATTGATCTGTATATGTTGAACCATCCTTGCAACCCAGGGATAAATCTCACTTTTCATGGTGTATGATACTTCTAATGTACTGTTGAATTTGATTTGCTAGTATTTGTTATGAATTTTTGCATCTATGTTCATCAAGGATATTAGCCTATAGGTTTTTTTTTTTCTTATAGTATCTTTGGCTGGCATTAGTAACAGGGTAATTCTGGCCTCATAAAATATGTTTGGAAGGGTTTGTTCCTCTTCAATTTTTTGGAAGAGCTTGAAATATATTGGCATCAATTCTTATTTAAATGTTTGCTAGAATTCCCCAGTGAAGCCATCTGGTGCTAGGTTTCTCTTGGTTGAGAAGTTTCAATCTAGGCAATGATTTCTTGGATATGACACCAAAAGCATAGGCAACAAAAGCAAAAAGTAACTAATGGGACTACATCAAATTGAAAGCTTCTGCAGTGCAAGGAAAATAATCAACAGAGTGAAAAGGCAACCTATGGAATAGGAGAAAATATTTGCAAACTGTTTATCTGATAGGGGGTTAATATACAAAATATACAAGAACCTCTTACAACTCAATAGCAAAAATACAAATAACCTAATTTAAAAATGGGAAAAGTACTTGAATGAACATTTCTCCAATGATCTACAAATGGCCAAGTACAAAAGGAATTCAAAATGTTCATGGAAAACGTGTATTATAAAAAAAACAAACAAAAAACAAACAAAAAAAACTGGGCATGGATTTAGAAATTTTTTACATAGAAATAAACTTATACTAAATTGTTACAACACATCTCAACAGGATCTAGTTTGAGGCACTAGGAAGGGTAAGACATCAGTTTGAGAATAGCCCTTATCAAAGCAACATGAATTCTGCTAAAATTGAAGCAAAGATAAACATCAAATGTATGGTGAAGCTTGGGTAGAAGAACGGTAAAATCATCGATGTTTTATGAAAAATGTATGGAGATGATGTTCCAAAGACATCAGCTGTTTTCAAATGGATAACTCACTGTAAGAAAGGAGGAGACAATATTGAAGATGTGGCCCACAGCGGTGGCCCATCCACAATGATTTGTAAGGAAAAACATGAATCTTGTGTGTGACCTAATTGAAAAGGATGGATGATTAACAGCAGAGACTATAGCCAACACCACAGACATCTCAGTTGGCTCAGTTTATGCAATTTCAACTGAAAAACTGAAGTAGAGCATACTTTCTACTCAATGGCACCAACACCATCAACTGCATCCAGACCTGCTGTAGACAAGGGCAGAGATCTCAAAGAAAATTTTGGACCAGTACAATTAAGGTTCTGAAACATTTCTTTGAAGAATTGTAACAGGAGATGAAACATGGCTTTATTATTATGATCCTGAAGACAAAGCACATTAAAAGCAATGGCTACCAAGAGATGGAAGTGGTCCAGTCAAAGCAAAAGCAGAACAGTCAAGAGCAAAGTCATGGCAACAGTTTTCTGGGATGTCCAAGACATTTTGCTTGTTGATTTTCTGGAGGGCCTAAGAATTATAACATCTGCTTATTCTGAGAGTGTTTTGGGAGAGTTAGCTAAAGCTTTAGCAGACAAACACCTGGGAAATCATCACCAGAAAGTCCTTCTCCACTCAACAACACTCCTGCTCATTCCTCTCATCAAACAAGTGCACTTTTGCAAGAGTTTGAATGGAAAATTATTAGGCATCCACCTTCCAGTCCATATTTGGTTTCTTCTGACTTCTTTTGGTTTCCTAATCTTAAAAAAATATTTAAATGGTACCCATTTTTCTTCAGTTAATAATGTAAAAAATACTGTATTAACATGGTTAAATGCCCAAGGTTCTTTAGTGATGGACTAAATGGCTGGTATTACTGTTTGCAAAAGTGTCTTGAAGTTGATGATTCTTACGTTGAGAAAAATAAAGTTTACATTTTTTAATTTTATCTTTTAATGTAAAAGATAAAGTTTTTGTTCACGAATTTTTGAAGTCCCCTCATATATGAGAAGGTGCTCAATATCACTAATCATCAGGAAACACAAATCAAAACCACAATGAAATATCACATCATACCTGTTAGAATGGCTGTTTTCAAAGGAAAAATAGATGTGTTGGCAAGGATGTAGAAAAAAAAAGAACTCTTGTACGCTATTGGTGGGAATGTAAATTGGTACAGCCATTTTAGGAAACAAAATAGAAGTTCCTCCAATAATTAAAAATAGAGCTACCATATGATCCAGCAATTCCAGTCCAGAGTTTATAGCTAAAGGAATTGAAATGAAGTTTTTGAAGAAATAATCTATACTTCCAAGTAGCACTCACGGGTAGCCAAGTCATGGAAGCAACCTCAACAAAATATCATTCAGGCTTAAAAAAAAACAAGAAAATCTTCCCATTTACAATATAAATCAAACTGGAGGACATTATGCTAAGTGATACAAACCAGCCACAGAAGGATAAATACTGCATTATCCTACTTCTATGAGAAATCTTAAATAGCCAAACTCATAAAAGCAGAGATGAGCATAGTGGTTGCCAAGGCTGGGGAAAGACAGACTTGAGGAGTTGTTTTCTCAATGGGTATAAAGTGTCTGTTATGCAATATGGATAAGTTCTCAAGATCTTCTTATAACATAGTGCCTGTAGTTAATACAATAATGTGTACTTTAAAATTTGTTAAAAGGGTGGATCTCATGTTATGTTCTTAACACACACACACACACACACACACACACACACACACAAAGAGGAAAACTTTGGAAGGTGATGGATCTGTTTATTACCTTGATTGAGATCCACATTATTTGAGTATTATTGCCACTAAAAATATTGCCAGTAAGGAAACCAGGTGGTACTTTTTTCCATTTTTCTCAGTTGATTTTGCCAGATGATTCTGTTCCAGTTACTTCTTCCTGCAAGAATAAGCATAGTATACACTAAGTTTATTTTGTTATTGTTGCTGTAGTCTTTTCAGATGAGCCGAAAAAGTCATGAACTCTATCAAATCCCAGATTAAAAACAGCAACAATTAAGAAGTCTCTGTAGAAGTTTAAGGGATGTGAATTCTAAAAATTAAAGGGAATTTTTAAGTGCAATGGCTAGAATCCCAGTTCATTAAAATAAATGTAGTTTGAGATTTGGTATCACGTTAAAAATTTGGAAGCTGCTATCATGTTGTAACCTAATTTAATATTCATGGAAAATAACATTTTTGTGGAGGGAGAGAAGTGCTGATTTTCTCATTGACTTTGGCTGGGGGAGGAATCCATAAAGTAGGATATGGGTTTCCCATTCTTGTTCCCCAAAAATGCCTATATTACCTCCAAAACTCAGTGAGAAAACGACCCACTACTTGGACCTCAGATCTCCCATCTACTCTTCTAGTAGTGTGACCTTTATAAAATATGGTATATGTTGGAGTTTAAATATAAGGCTTCTCTTGAGAAAAGATTTCTGCTGCTAAAAGTAGGTTGATCATCTCAATGGCAAAAACACATTTCCCCCTTGTGGGACTCAATAAAACTATTTTCAAATTTAGTGAAAAAAAAAATAGGCTATAAAATTGCTTTATTTTTCCTGAATAATTCTTTCTGAAGAAAAAAAAAGAGGGTTATTTGTCACTGATCTAAACTATGGTTTTGTATGTTTCAGGTTTATAGGACAATAAGAAGCTCTCTCTCTCTCTACTCCCACCTCAATGTTACCACCCCCAAGCAAAACCACAGTCCATTTTCCCTGCTGATGGCCCCATGTACGATGTTAGAAAAAGGATCTGACTGTCTTCCCTTATGTCTGTTTCAAAGGTTATGGACACAGCCCTGGTTTCTCTATTTCCCTGAACATACCATTATTTAAACACCATGGATAGATTCATGTAAACCAGTGGCTTTTAGCCCTCATTTTATATCCAAGCCCCTGGGAACTTTAAAAAAATCTAGATTCCCAGACCTCATGCCAGATCTACTGGAAGAGAATCTGCAGGGGTATGTTCTGGGCATCTTTAAAAAAGAGCAATGTAGCGATAGTTTTCTCATTCCTCCTCCTGAAATCACAGCACAGTCAGTATCACGGAGGGAAGCTGGCTTCACTATCTGAGAACAAAAGGCTGTTCATCACCCACTTAGACACCAACAGGTGGACATGTCAGGAGGCCCAGGAGCTCTTGAACATGCCCTTTCCCTTCATGCACAGGTCCTTTCAGGGTCAAAATACTCTACTCAGCACCATCTTCGTTCCTTTCCTCCATACCAGACACTGCCTAAGACAGATGACACTCCTGAGAAGTCAGGTTATGAACTCCTGAATTAGCATCTTCCAAATGTACTTATCCTGTGCAATGCCCAGTGGAAAATAGAGCTCTGTGGTTAAGTTCACGATATGCTACTAGCACTGACCCTCTTTTAAGAGCCACTATGCTGGTGCACGTCTGTGGTTCCAGCTACTCTGGTGGCTGAGGCTGGAGGATCTCTTGAGCCCAAGAGGTTCAGACTGCAATAAGCCTTGATCATGCCACTGCACTGCAGCCTGGGTGACACAGTGAGCCTTGTAGGGGGTGGGGGGAAGAAACAACAAACAGCTACTGTGCACTTGGACTCTAAAAATTTCTGCAATCAAGAAATCTGTTTACTGAGCATTCCCAACCTGTATTTGACTATGGTACCCTTTTTTATTAATATCCCTATCAGTATCTGAGGAATACACTTTGCCAAATGTTGATCCTGACTATGAGCTGCTGGATGTAAGTCCCAGTGTCCCCTGATGTCTTACTCCTTAAAGCAACCGGAGAAGGAGAGGAAGCAAAGCAGAGTGCAGGAACAGGAAAGATATAGGTTGGCCGAGGGGATTTAGCAGCCTGATAGTAATCAGAGAACTCGAGTGTAATTGCTTGTGTTGTTTCTGAAAGCATCTCAGCCAGGCTGGTGGTCCAATGTCCAAATTAGCTAATGGGTACAGGAGGGCTTTACATGTTTAGAAATGATGGCTTTTGGATCAGCACTCAAAGATACTCCTTTTTTCTTTTTTCTTTTTTTTTTTTTTGAAAATTGCCATTTTCCTCTCATATCATGATTCTCAAACTTTAGCTTGCATCGGCTCCCCTGGAGGCTTACAAAAACACAGATTGTTGGGCTCCACTCCGGGAGTGGCTGAGGCAGCAGGTCCGGAGTGAGGGCAGAGAATTCGCATTGCTAACACGTTCCCAGGTGATGCTGATCTGTTGGTCTGGGGACCACATTGAAAAGGACTGTTCTAGGAGGAAAAGAAGTGCAACAGAAGAAGGGAAGGGGATAAAAGTGATAGATAAAGAGGAAACCGAATAAAAAGAAGAAAGAAAACATAAAACAGGAGTGGGAGAGAAGACGGGGAGATAGTGAGAATGACAGGAGAACAAGGGAAAAGGGGAGAGATAAAGCTGGGAAAGGAGAGGAAAGCAAGGAAAAGAGAGGACCACAACAGAAGAATAATGAGTAAAAGAGAAGAAAGAGGGAGTAAAAGAGAGAAGGAGACTGAGCTGCTTGCAGATTTGCATAAGGGTTCCCAAGGTGTCAACATTGGCATCTGGGCAAAGGACCAGTAGGATGTAAGCTTGTGGCATCTGTGGGGACACCTACTGTATACACAGCGACAACTTCCCCATCCATATTGCTTGTGGATATACCTGGGTTTCCAGTTCCCTGGACTCAGCTTGGTTACACCAGCTGCTTTGGAAGCAAACCTGGCTCCAGTTAAAGGAGAAAGCCATGAGAAAGGAGGACAGAATTCTCACGTCCTTATTTCCCTATCCTGACCTCCTCCCCTCCTGGGTCTTGTCAGATCCTGGATTCCCTTCTCAACTTCCCCTCCGACCCAGAAGGTCTGCCAACTGAAGCTGGAGCCAACCCTCCCTCCCCAGGGCTTCTGCTCCCGACTGCTGGCCTGCACCCACCCTCCAGCCGCCCCAAGACTCAACAAGCCCTACCTTTGGGGGCTGTGTTGGTCTCCACCCCCAATGTCAGACAAACAAATGGGATCTTAGGGGTCCAAGGAGGCCCCACTAGGGGTTGCTGATAAAATTCACGTGTTGTCCCTTGGGCAGCCTTCAGGGCTAGGATGTGCGCATCATCAGAACCCAAAGCCACCTCCACCAGAGGAAATCCTAGTAGGTGGAGAGGAGCCAGGGCTTGGCTATGCCACCTTATTCAAAAGGGGTGCACAGTGGCCCCTGGAGATGGACTCTGTTGTAGCAAGAGGTGGATAAACAGGCCGAGGAACTGTGAGCTCAGCCTGGGAATCCGACTGAGATGGCAGTACCTCTCTCCCCTGGAGGTGTGAGAAATCCTGGCTATAAATCAAGGAAATTAAGTAGAGTGCAGGGCTTAGGGGCATTGCTCAAGCTCCTAATCCAGATCCCAGAGTTGCTGAAAGGGTCACCACGCCCAGCAGCCCAGAAGGAGGGAAGCTCTGTTTTACAGGCTTTCCTCTCCCCAGAGCACAGCGAGGGGGCTGGACGTGGTAGAAACTCCAAGTGCTATCCCAAGGCAGTGGAATGTGAGAGCTAGAAAGGGACTCAGAGACCATCTCCTCCTAATGCTCCCCTTTTAAAGGCAGAGAAACCAAGACCAGATGAAGAAAAGAGGAATTTGTGTAAAGGCACAGAGGCATTTGTTATCAACAAAATCCACAGGTAAATAACACTGCAGGTGGCAACTGGAAACTGTGTCAGGGAGCAATTTACAGGTGATTTGCTGAGAATCATGAGGTCCTGCAGAACAGTAGGTGGGGATAGAGCAAAGTTCCAGGAGGCAGGACCCATCCTGACAATAAACAGGCAAAGAGCAAATCGGTGCCTTTGCCTGTCATACAGCTATGCAAGCACGTGCATAACTTTTTAAAATTTTTCAACTTTTAGTTTCAATTCGGGGGTGTATTTGCAGATTTGTGACATGGGTATAGTGCATGATGCTGGGGTTTGAAATGCAAATGATCCCATCACCAGGTAGTGAGCAATACCCAATAGGTGGCTTTTCAGCCCTTTTCCTTCCCTCCCGCATTTAGTGGTCTCCAGGGACTGTTGTTCTGATCTTTACGTCTATGTGCATTCAATGTTTAGCTCCCATTTATAAGTGAGAACATGAGGCATTTGGTTTTCAGCTCTTGTGTTGGTTTACTTAGAGTAATGGTCTCCAGCTCCATCCATGTTGCTGCAAAGGGCATGACTTTGTTCTTTTATATGGCATGCATAACTTTTTGCAACATTTTGTCAAACATTTAGTATAAGTGGACAAGCAACTTGGAGAGAACGAAAATCTTACTTACCATGCAGATTAAAGATGGACTGTGGGCTTTTTTAGAGTATTTATGGTGTGTCAGACATGGGGCCAAGCCCTTTACTTTAGTCTTCTCACTTAATCCTCACAAATGCCAGGAGGAACTATTTTTGTGGCTGCCATTTTTCCAAAAAGGAGAGTGAGGCCCAGAGCAACAATTGCTCAAGACTGAAATCTAGCCTCTCTGTGTTTTTTACTTAACTCTCCAATGTGAGCATTTTTCAGTAGCAGAAATTATTGTTCTATGGCATCACTTTTAAGGGCTGACCATGATTTCATGGTAGAGTGGACACAGTGTTTTGAACACACAGGGTCTGTGCTGATCTCTGGCAGAGTTCTGCAAACTCTTTTTCTTAAAAGGGAAGAGAATACATATTCTCTGTTGTGCTGACGCTGGGGTCCTGTTGCAAGTACTCAGCTCTGCTGCTGTGGCACGTGCAAGTAGCCATAGACAGTACAGAACCCAATAAAATTTCATTTGCAAAAACAGGAGGTGAGCTGAATTTGGCGAGTGGGCTGTAGTTTGCTGCATGCACCTTGCTATAAAGTCTCACACCTAGTAAATGCTCAATAATTACAGTCATTGTTATTGATGTTATCTATCAAAATAGCTTTAACAATATATGATAATAATATACATACATCTCTGAGCCAACTTCTCCGGTACAGACACAAAATTGTGGAGAACAGTGATTCTTCAACTTTACCGTGCGTGAGAATCCATGGAACTTGTCAACAATGCAGAAGTGGCCTCATTTCCAGAGAATCTGATGCAGATCATCTGAGTTAGAGTCCAAGAACTGGCAAAAAAAAAAGAAGAAGAAGAAGAAGAAGAAGAAGAATCTGCTATTTAAAAGAGCATTCCCGGGTGGCCCTGATGATGGAGAACTGGGGTGAGCATGCTTACAAAAAACTCTAAGCGTTTGCTTAGATGAATCATGGACTGAAAAGCAATGAAAGACGTCATGGGAAAGGCTGGCAGGAAACTCATGAGTAGGGAGGAGCCAGGTCATGTCCCTGGCAGGACAGCTCTTCAGCCACTTTAGGGTGTTCCTGGAAGGGACAGTGACCAGATAGGCATGGTAGAGTGTTGAAAACAACAGATCTCACTGGGAAAGCATCTACTATGTGCCAGGTGGTTCCCTTGGGTTAACTCAATTCTTTCAACAACTCTTACATCTGTCCCCTGTCCCCTCCCCATCAGAGTGGAGCAGGGAAGAGCAGAGCTTGCCTACCAGTGAGCAGGATGCTGACGTCAGGGTTTGTGTTCTTGCCACTTCTTCGCAGAACCCGCATGAAGATCTGGGTGTTTCGGGGATGGAAAAACTGGGACACAGAGGATGAACTGGGTTCAGAGGGGAGAAGGGACCCATGGGTGTTCAAGGCCTCAAGACCCAAATAGGTCTGGAGGAAAAGAGCCTGACTTTCCAGCCAGCTCTTGATCATGTTGACTGGCTGATTTCTCAAGCGTCCCAAAGGGAAGTTCTATTGGTAAAGTCCTGATTCTCAAGAGTGATTTCTAGACCAGCAGCATCAACAGCACTTGAACTTGTTCAAAATGCAGATTTATCGGGCTCACTGCTAGACCCAATGACTCAGAAATTTGCAGAAAGAGAGATTCAGAAATCTGCATTTTAACAAGGCCTCCAGGCTATTGTGATACAAACTCACATTTGAGAATGAGCGTGTGAGGAATTCTTTTTATATATGAGGGAACAAAAGGACAGAGAGGTCAAGCAGCCTGTCCAAGGTTGCAGAGGCAGTGGTTGTGGGGCTGGGCCTTAACCCCATTGTTCATGGTTTCTCATGAGAGACACCTCGGAGATGCATCAAAATGCAGTTTCCCCTGTCCTCTCTAGACCGACTGACTCAAGATCTCCAGGGCTAAAGCCCCCAGTTTGTCTTTTAGCAAACTTCCAGGTGAGTCTAGAGTTTTAGAATTCTTCCCTAGTTCCTGTTGCTCTATACTCGTGTAGTTATTTTCTCTTCCCACTGTCCAGTTTCCTTCTTTTCTTTCTCCCACACCCCTTCATTTTTTCCCCTATCTCCTATACTTTGGGCCTCTCTCCACAACTAGCTAGTTGTACATAACTAGTTCGTCGCAGAGAAACTAGAAGAAACCCAGGATACCATGTCTTATACCTCTCCGTTTTTAAGCTGGTTAATAAAAAATAATTAAAAATCATCCACAAATATGTTTGTTCTTAGCATTTCAAACAGTATAGAATTTTATAGAGTTTTAGAGAGTAAAAGCTGTTTTTCTTCTGATCCTTCCCAAAACCAGGCAACCCCCAATTACTGTTAATAGTTTAGTGTGTCACGTTCCAGACATCTACATTTTTTATTCAAATAAATATATGCACATATACACTCAGATGATAATTCAAAACAGAAATGGAACTATACTATTCCTATTATACTGTGACGTGGCTCACTTAATAGGATATTGTGTACATTCCTGTGTGTGATTTTGTTTGTTTGTTATTTATCTATTTTTTTATTTTACTTTAAGTTCTGGGATACATGTGCAGAACATGCAGGTTTGTTACATAGGTATACACGTGCCATAGTGGTTTGCTGCAACTATCAACCCATCATCTAGGTTTTTAAATCCCGCATGCATTAGGTATTTGTCCTAATGCTCTCCCTACCCTAGCTCCCCCATCCCCCGACAGGCCCCATGTGTGATGTTAGCTTCCCTGTGTCCAGGTGTGTCATTGTTTAACTCCCACTTATGAGTGAGAACATGCAATGTTTGCTTTTCTGTTCCTGTATTAGTTTGCTGAGCATGATAGATTCCCTGCAAAGGACATGAACCTGTTCTTTGTTATAGCTGCATAATATTCCATGGTGTATATGTGCCACATTTTCTTTATCCAGTCTATCATTAATAGGCATTTGGGTTGATTCCAAGTCTTTGCTATTGTGAACAGTGCCACAATAAACATATGTGTGCATGTGTCTTTATAGTAGAATGATTTATAATCCTTTGGGTATCTAATACAAATAAATATAGCATATTCTTGCTAATGGTTATAGAGTATACCACTTTTGAAAGTATATGACTTAGTTGAATTCATCACGAAGAGATGGTCATTTTTGTAGCTTCCTATTTTTCACTACTGTAAACAGCATGACCCTAAATATGTGCTTGTACATGTTTGTTTGTTTGTTTGTTTGCTTTAAGACAGGGTCTCACTCACTCTATCATCCAGGTTGGAGTACAGTGGTACAACCCTGGCTCACTGTAACCTCTGCCTCCTGGGTTCAAGTGATTCTCCTGCCTCAGCCTCCGGAATACCTGAGATTACAGGTGTATGCCACCACGCCTGGATAATTTTCGTATTTTTAGTAAAGATGGGGTTTCACCGTGTCGGCCAGACTGGCCTCAAACTCCTGACCCCACGTGATCCCTCAACTTTGGCCTGCTGAAGTGTTAGTATTACAGGCATGTGCCCATATGCTTTTTTGAACATGTGTAGTCTGAAAGGTGACTTGCTTTGGAGAGAAAATACTGGGATTCAACCTTCTGTCCATTTGGCAATTTTCTTCCATTCTTTTCCAGTCAGAGTTTTCTATGCCTAAGAGGGTAATTGACACAGAATGACAGCTACTTGTTTTCATTGCTGCTTTTCTTTTTTACCTGCTTCTGGGGAGTAAGGGAGAATTGAAAACTGAAATGGATGCACTCTCTTGCCAAAGTGGGAAGATGGTCATGAAGGCCAGCTCAAGCTTCAAGACAAAAGCTATTAATAGTGCTCTTCACATCATTCCTCGAGAGAAAGAAGATGCTCTTACTGATTAAAAATCTTGGCAGTTTTTAGCAACAAGGAAAGTTGGTGAATTTTCCCAGGTTAAGTATGAAACATGACAGAGCTTGGATGAGCTGCTCTGACTCCCTATTCATTGTTGCTATTTTCCTTTTTTTTTTCTTTTTTTAAAGTATACTTTAAGTTCTGGGATACATGTGCAGAACATGCAGGTTTGTTACATAGGTATACACATGCCTTGGTGGTTTGCTGAACTCACATCTGAACCCGTCATCTACTCATTGTTGCTATTTTCTATGAGGCCCTCAACCCCCTGTGATTTCAGTATAAACACCATACAGCCACCCACAGCCCACCCGGCTCCCTATGACTCAGTCACATACTCATCCCAGAGTCATTAGAGAATGGAAATCATGAGCAAGATCTGGCTCACACCCAGGGAGTGACAAAGCATGTCCAGAAAATCAGGGATTCCCCTTCTGCCAAGGAGGCACGAGTGGAGACAGCCAATTCTCCATGGTCAGGAGGGGATATTTCAAAGCTCCAGGCCTCTGAGGTTGGCAGAACTGCATGTTGTTTTGGGAAACTGTGCATTGCAGCAATTGTGAGGGAACAGAACTGTCTTCGAGGCAAGAGAAATAACAGAGCTGAAATAGACCATGCATTAATGGCGAATTGCAATCTCAGGTCTCATTGGTGCCATGCTCTTAATTATAAATAGTATTTGAAACCCATTTCCCTCCCTCATTAATGATAACAACTAAGTTTGTTAAGTAGTTACTCTGTTTTAGGCACTGTCCTAGGGACTTAGAATACTGTAAGTATTTTGGACAACCCTTTTGATAGGATTATTATGATCTTCACTGCAAATTGAAGAAACCAAGTCTCAGAGAGGCTAGACAAGCACTTTGTTACACAGTTAAGAGAGAACGAATCCCAGGCATTGTGAAAGATTACAATAAGCACAAAATAAAAAGTTCCAATGCATGTTACAAATCATTACTGAAAAGGAGCAAATACATTTAACCTCAAAGTTAACCTCACAGTTTCTGAAGGTTGAGAATCTGGAAGCAGCTTAACTACATGGTTCTACTTCAGAGTCTCTCATGACATTGCAGTCAAGTAGTCAGATGGGCTGTAATCTCATCTGAAGGCTTGACTGAGGGAAATCCATTTCCATGCTTATTCATGTGGCTGTTGGCAGGAAGTCTCAGATTCTCACTATGTGCGTCTCTCTTCAGGGCTGCTCCCAAAATAGCTCCCCCAAACTGCTCCCTGCAATCAGTTGAAAGACAGAGAGGAGAGGAGAGAGAGGAGAGGACGGAGGAAGAAAAAAGGAGAGCAGGAAAGTGGGGGATGGGGGAGAAATAATATACCTGCAATATTTTTTGTTATCTAATCTCAGAGGTGAAACACCATCACTTCTGCTGTATGCCATTGGTCAGACCAACCCTGGTACAATGTGGGAGGGAACTACATAAGGATAGGACTATTAGAAGCTGGTTACCATAAGAATACATCTCTCAGCTAGAAAATCTTTGTGGTCTTCATGTGAAACAACATACCGAGGACCTAGTATCCTTTATTTTTTCTCTTCATCCATCACTCAGACCAATGTCAAATGTATACAATTGGAGGGAACATTTCCTGCCAAAGAATGAAGAGTTTCTATCCTGATTCTGCACAGGAATATCACCCAATAAACTTCGTTCCTGTCAACTCAGTCTCCTCAACAAACAGGCAAGTGGCATTGCCTTCCCTCTTACCACCTTGAACCAAGGATGCTGATCATTCTAACTCCAACTCTATCACAAAAGTTAATTCTCTACCTTGCTCTGCCCTCTCTGTGATGCATGCAGACTATAAAACTCATGTTCCCTTACCCCCGGCTTTCAGTTGGGTTTGATCAATGATAAACACCAGCAGAAGACTGAGGGTGGCAAGAGAGAGCGCTTGGGTATCAATGCCTCTATTCCCTTTCTGCTTCTGTATTATATATCTGAAAGGGTTTGTGGCTCCCCATGTTTACACCACTCACTGGGTGGCCTCACCTCCATGGCTCCAGCTTTCATTGGACCCCAAGAGTCCTTTTCCTCCCACTGTCCCTTGTGTTTTAGGGCTAGTGACAACTTCCTGCTTTTAGAAGTCCCTGATGGTGCTTCATCATCCATTTCTGGTTCTCCTAACTCAGCTCATAATTCTGTACAAAGTCCTTATAGAAATGTCTCTCAGTTAAACAGCTGAATGGATTTTTTTTTTTTCTGTTGGGATCCTGGCTCCACAGACAATGAAATGGGCTCTGACTCCCACACCTTTGTTTCTTCACACTTCAAGACAATCCTTTAAACATGTATAAGTGTAGAGAAGGGCATAAGGCTCACTTTCATAAACATGGGATTTGAGAAATCCCTTGAGACATATTATGGGGTATAAGGATTCACAAGGCCTAGGATTCACATGGCCCTGACCACCACATCACCCCAGCAGAACTTTTTGAATCATCAAAAGTTTTATGCATTTTAAATATGGAATGCATGAATGTAGGCTTTAAGAGGA